GAGTTTCAGAAGGTATGTGAAGAAATTCCAAACGTACAAATCTCAGATTGCAGAAAAAGTTCAACATGCAAGATGCAGTGTGCTATTTCTTGACATCAATGCCAAAATGCTCGAGTGTCTTACATGTGGAAGTTTGTCCTATGGAGAAAATGTGATTTTGGATTGCCTTTCATTTTCATTCCTTCTTTAAATTTAAATGGAAGGACAGAATTACCAGGTTGGGAGTAAGTCCTGTTAAAAACACATTTCTCTGCTACTAATTCCTTCATATCAGTGGCTCATCAGATGTCTGAAACACTAGACTGGAATTACATGGATCTCAGCTTAATTTGGTTAAGGACCTGAGGATAATGTTCTCCACCAGTTAACACAGGCAAAAGAAAATCAGTCCATTTTTACATCCACATTTCGGCTCTTCAAGATGATGTCTCCACCAAAATACCAGTGCCCCACAGGGTTTGAGCACTTCTACTTTTAGAGCTGTATTGGCTGCAGGTAAGTCAGCAACCATACAATCAAATCAAAGTCGAGTAGGTATGCACAAGTTTTCCAGATGTCCACAGCATTCAGACTGTCACCCGCTGCAGATTTTTTTCCTTGTGGGAGAAAACGTATGGCCTTGTTTGAAGGGATTAAGATGAGGCTGAAAGGACAAATTGAATCATTTAATCTGGCACTGAAGCAAAATACTTCACACAACTTTCTGTCTTCAAGAAATGTCTCGCATGTGTTTGACTTTCGCCAAGCTGATTATTTGTTTGTACTATCCCATATAATGTGTATTTGTTGATTGGAAGAAACTGCATATACAGGATAATCTGAGGCAGATTCCCACAGACACAGATTTGACTATCACTAACCTGCATTTGATGATGACAACCTCATTCAGCAACCACCCATTCTGCATTGAGTGACTACTGGAACATGTGGATGGAGCAAAGATGCTTGGGCTGAAGAAGACACACCGTTGTGAGGTTTCCATTGTGCAGAACCAACAGCTATCAATTCACAATGAAGTGAGAAACCAAAGAAGCATAATCAAAATATTTTACTCAAATGGACATAGCAACAGGAATGTTTTGTATCCTTTTTGTATCTACTCATTTGGCAGACACTTCTATCCCGAGTGATTTATCTATACAGTGCCTTCAAGATCTACAATTTGTGTTCCTTGCCAAACCAATGACCTTGGTGTTGCTAGCACCATACATTACCAGATGACCTACAGGAACTCCTGCATTTTGTTTACATATTTGGACTTTGGGTTAGAAATTCATCACGTTGTATCAATAATCGATGAGAACTGCGTAGACATGGCTGTGTCATGTGAAAGTATTTTAGTAATTTGCAAGATTCTTCAAGTTTGCAAGTTTCCTAAATATGCATCTGTTACTTTGAAGTATTTTTAACAAGGATATGGCGATGAAAGAAATCGAAGACCCAAAGTGGCAACTGCAAATTCGACAACAAACAAATTAATCTGTGAACAGGTATTAAAGCAACTGCCAACAGACTTTTGATTTCATCCGCAAGACAGTATAGCAGCAAGATTTGGCATATGAAATTTACATAGCAGTGATTACCAAGGAATATACCAAGGAAAAGTCTGAGACCATCGCTGAAATTGGAGGGTATATCGTTTTATTCTGCGAGAAGAGGGATCTGCGAAGACCACAACCCACTGGAGATCTTCAAAACTCTTCCAGCAGTTACCTAAAGTTGATACCATCACTACCATACTTGAGTTTATTATGAGGTTCAATGCATCTAATGCTCATCTAAGATTGCTCAACTAAGCTCACCAATCAAGATTTTGCACTGCAAGAAAAAACACATTGAGATGTTTTGACTGATCTCTGTTGGTCACCATGTGTTGGCACTCTGGAGCAAATGAGTTTACTGAAGGATCTTCTGATGAATGGAAACACGCAATGACAGTGAGAGGAGAGGCATGAACTTGCCATAATTATTATGACCTGATATATTTATTATGCATTGTTAAATTTTTTATTTAGTGATAGAGTATTTAAATGAAGGTTGAGCCGACCAAAATTTCGTTTTTTAGCACACCGCTCAAATTGAACTGAAATTACGATTTGTTATAACAACAATCCGAATAGTGTGTGCTTGCTTTTAATTTACTGGGTCACAGTGAATCGTTCCAGTTGTTAAAGTCGTTTTCCAAAAAAGGAGACCACTTTTAATTTCACTGGAAGAGACATCTTAGATTAATATAAGTAGTGCTGGTAAATTTGTAGATAAAAGGGACTATGTGACAGGTAAAAGGCCAATTGTTTTGCATTAAAATAAACATTGCAGTGTTTATGGTTAATATGAAACTTTTCTATGGAAGTTTTGTACCTGAGCTTTGTACCTGATTTTATTCCAATTTATATTTATTCATAAGTGTTCATCTGGTTAATGTGAAATTTGAAAGGAAAAGGAAAGCTGTAATGGGACCTTATATCTCTGTATATCATGTGACCTCTTGTTTAGTCATTTAGGATATTCTTCAGATAGGCAGTTATCACTGGACTTAGTCAATGTGGGTCGACAACGCCTTGATTTCCTTCCCATGCTGGAGCATTCTGGGACTTACAGGGAATCAGCAGTGCATTCTGGGACATTTGCCCAGGAGATCATCACCCTTGTGCATCAAGTTAAAGGTCAGGAACCAATGGATTACCTTGGTAGCATATTGTGTATCTTAGAAAGAGCTAATTTTACATAGCAAAGAGTTGATTTTGGTTAACCGTTTGCTTATTTGTTTTGCAGAAAATTACTTTAGGGGCCAAGGCATCACACTTAATGAACGATTTGCAATTGAACAGTATTATTCACTCCAAGATGAGTTTAAGGAGGAGGAGGAGGAGGAGATGGGAAACGTGAGACCAGTCATGAATAGGTACACATACCAATTATTTAGTTTTTATTTATTAGTGACGCTTGCAATGATAAGCATCGCTATTATTTTTATTTAGGGTTAATATTTTTATTTAGGGTTAATATTTTTATTTAGGATTAAAGATTTGATTACCCCTTAATCCTACATTTAAATCCTTCTCCAAACCGTTTGCGATACAATCATGAAAATTCTTGGTCTTTTATTATAGGCAACACGGAATGCCTTCATCAGAAACTCAGATCTTCTGCAAGATCGGGCCGGATCCAGTAAGTTGATCTTTTTCAAGTCCATCAGTATCAAATCATTTTAAGTATGTTGGTTCAAATTTGGATTTTTTTTTGCTAGCTTCAGAGACGACAGCTTGTCCCTGACCCTGGTGACCTCAGGTATGACCTGGAGCGAAGAAGACAACAGCGACTGGAGGGTGTGAAGATCACCATTGCTGGGGGAAACTTTGCTCCAATGGCTCCTGAGGGGTATGGACTGAAAAGTGTTTTTGTTGGCTATGTCTTCAGACCAGCTTTTAATGTTATTTCTGTGCATTCAGATGCTGCGCCAATATATAAATATTTACAAAACTCTGTGTTTGGCACCTGCATCTCTAATGGTGGGAATTACTGTTGTCTTTCCAAAGTCAAGAGAGTGAACTTCCCTATATGAGTGATGATCCTGAAGAAATGGATGAGAACTTTAGGTGGTTGGAACAAGACCGTGAGCGTCAAAGGCAGTGGGTGAGTTCTTGTTGATGTGAAACATTTCTATTTTTAAGAAAGTTTGATTGTTCATACAATGACTTTTTGATCCTTCAGGATGGTCCCCGTCAAAGAATGCCAGTACCTAACAGACAGAACTTCAGTCAGAGGGGGAATTTCAATCGCAATAGCAGACCACTGGGACGGAGGACTTGAAATAGTAGTGAGGAAAATGTGTATGTATACATTGATTATATATGTTTAGATATATATGTGTTCATATATATCTTCTTTTTTTTGACTGATCAATATACATTATTATACTTTTTTTTTCTCTGACTTTCATACAGAAGTTTTTGATGTAGTGTACATTGGTTCTTTATTTTTTGTCCTCTTCCTTTTGTATTTTTATCTGCAGGTGGCAGTGCATGAGGAGAAAGTCAACCATTCAAATCTGAGGTCACTTGTCAACAACAGTGTTTTTGTTGTTTCTGTTTTGATATTAGAACCACCAAGACCTTGATTCAAGGTCCACTGCTTCTCCACTTTGGTGAATCATTTTCATCCATTTTTGATTCACCCACTACCATTAGTTTGATTTAAGGAAACAGCTTTTTTTATTTGAAGATGGAAACATAAAATAGGACACCTCATTGGGCAAGTTAAAGTGATAAAGATTAAGTATCACCTTGCTCTGCTCTCATCTTGAAAAATTGCTATTCTTTATTGTCAGTGAAGTAACTAGAGTTTAGTTTTTGATTTGATAATCCACAATATTTACAAGGCACAAATTATAATTCATACTATATGTGAATTTAATTGCAAATTAAATTTTGTATTTAAATTGCAATTTCATAGCAGTATTACAACACATGGTTAGTTTTGCTTTTATACTAAAATAGACTTTTTGTCGTACCTATGTATATGACAAAAAAAATCATATTTGCTGTATCCTTCTGTGTAAACTCAAAGTAGAAATTGTTCTGTAAATAAAATCTATTTGTGCCAAAAATGTTTTCAAATGAAGCTTCAGGTGTTTTCAGACCATGTCATTTATTTTACAAAACAAGAATGCAAAAGCAGTACATGTAAAACATCTTTACAGTAGAATATTTGGTTTATACTGGTGATGATTAAGACCAACTATACAGGAATGATATAGATTGTTCCAACAGTTAAGAGTCAGAATTTAATATAGTAAAACTGCACTTTAATTCTGTCCTGAACACTGGAATATGTGCCTGGTATAACATAATTTTATACTAGTGCAATCACAGTAGTAATTTCACAGAAAAGGCACTAAATGTTTTTAACTGTTTAGACCCCCTTAAAGGGGTCATATGATGCTATTTTAAAGATCATTATTTTGTGTGTTTGGTGTAACAGAACAGTTCAGATGGGCATTTCAATTTGATTTCCTACAGATGAGATTAATCACATGGCAACGGTTTGAAAGAGACCTCAGCATTCTCCTCCAAAATAATGTCATATCGACACATTAGTGGCCTGTTGGGGAAAGAAGCAGAAAGCACCATAATTAATTGACTGTTTTTGTTTAGCATGCATGACAGTTACACTACCATTCAAAAGATTCAGAAAGTTTTTTTTGTTTGTTTTTTTTATTGAAAGAAATGAAATTCAACTTTGCCAGCACAGGAATAATTTATAAAATATAAAAAAAGAATGAGTATTTTGTAATAATGTTTCACTGTATTTTACAGTATTTTTGATCATATAAATGCAGCCTTGTTGAATGTAAAAGACTTCTTTCAAAAACATTACTTACCCTATACTTTTGAACAGCAGTGCATGTGTAATTCATTAGTTTAGAAGTTTAGATGCCTGTAACTCAGAAAAGCAATGTGTTGTGTAGTTACTCACCTGTTTTGATTTTCCAGTGGGGTTATTCGAATACGTAGCAGCCTTATCTTGTATCGAGGTCCAATCACATTCCCAGTGACAATCCGTAAAGAGATTTTCTGAATTGGATATAGATCCTCATCAAACTGCGCCAGGAGTCGAGTGGAGGTATACTGCTCAAACCTCAACAGCTTACTAAGCAAAAACATACAGAACAATCATTACGTGATGACAAGTCAAAGATGAATGGATCTATAATATATTGTGTTATATAAACTCATTATTGCAGTTTGCGTACTTATCTATCTGGGACTCTATTACATTTTTGCCATTGTGCAGTCGGAGTATGTCTACCCCCCAGCGCAGAAACTGGTTCCAGGTAACTAGGTCCGCTCTGTAGCTTGTCTCTGTTAAAAGGAGAAATCAGAATATTGCACAAAATAATACCTTTGAGAAAACAACTTCTGCAATGAGTCGTTATAGTCTAACTCACTGCTGTAGGGGAGCTCTGCCGTAGTTGAGAAATATGCTCTTGTTTGGCCCAACCTCAAGAGTCTATCCCTCCACTGGCTCATGTCATAACCTGAAGATGAAGGTAATTTTACATTATAAACAGCTTTTCTGTTTGTATCACTCCGCTTGCTTGTCTGTGTTTGGTTAAATCTATTTTGCAGGTTCAAAGTAATAAATCTTTTTGTAGTGTCACGTGATCCTTCAGAAATTTTGAATGAAGCCCAAAAAGCATTTCTTATTGTCAGTGTTGAAAACAGTTGTGCTGCTTAATATTTTTGTGGAAATTAATAGAAATTTCAAAAGAACAGTTTTTATTTAAAATAAAAATATTTTTCAAAATAAATGTACTCTCTTTTGATCAAATAATGTGTATTTCATAAATAAAAGTATTAATTTTTTTTTTTTTTATTAAACTGTGATTACAGCAGAGCTGACAAGCAGCTTACTTTTACAAGAAAGTACTACTTCAGTTTTTCTACTTAAAAACTTCATATTTAATTCAGTGTGCTACTTGCCTTTTCTGTAATTAATTGTGACATTTACAAAAAATGTTTCTACACCAACTTTTTTCAGTGTAGTTGGTAAGGAAATGTTTTCATCAGCAGAGCAGCGATAACTGGCAATATTGTGTCTAAAATGTAAGTTACTTACCCTGCATATTCATTTACTGAATTGTTGTTTAAAAGCAAAATCACACTTGCAATCTTTAATCAGTATTCATATTTGCATTTATTGTGGTTGATTACTAGATGTATTGCTTTTACCCAGAACAGGACAGGAAGCAGGCTTGAAGGTCTCACACTGCAAACACTGGCCACTAAGGAAGTCGCTGTATGAGGGACACGGATATGCCGTAAGTTTACAGGTGTGATTCAGAGCGCACAGGTACAGGAAAACAGACCTCTGATGATCACACACAAAATAAGATTTCCCTGTGGAGAAGAGAAGGAATGAGATTACATTTTAGCCCTGTTAACAACCTTGTAATCAACTCAATCCCACTGTGAGAATTGCATAATTTAATTATGACAGAATCTTAATTACACAGTCAGCTTTTTGCATTTTGGGTTTATTTGGAGAGCATTCTGTATGAGATATATCATTAGATCAGATCTCAACCCTGACCTTTCCCAAATGTTTTATCTTAACTTACTGACCTGAGAAGATGGTCTTGGGACATCCAGGCTGATCTAATCCTCCATTGGCATAGAAATCAATATGGCCATGTGTTCCTCTAAGGCCAAAGGCTGCCACAGGAAACAGTGTTCGAACGTGGAATTGTTAGGCTATGTTTGGCACACTACTATTTTAGTATTATTTTTGTAGAACATACTGTATGCATGGAATATTTGGATGACCTTCCACACTTATTCTGTGATTTCAGTAGCGTGTCTTCAAATTTATGATACTTACAATTCATATCTGTGTGCAGCACATCTACAAACTGGGCATCAGTTGGATCAAGGCGTTCCTCAGGGGGAGCACTGGCAAACATTGGCCCTGCTGGGTCCAGACCTACAGTAGAGTAAACCAGGTGAAACTTCTAGTAAACAATATTTATTGGATAAGATTAACTAACTGAAGATGTTACGACCGGTTTTGTTTCATTGGCTTTCCTGAATCTCACCTGTGATTCTGCCCACCCGCCCTCCCAGCATTGCACCAATGAACCCGGCCACATGTGCGCCCAGGCTGACTCCAGTCAGATGGATGGAGTCAAGAGATGCTCCCTCTTTCTGAAAGTAACACAATATCGGTTAAATTGGACATTACTGACCAAAGCTATTTCAGAGCTGAAATGCTAATGAAAGACCACTGACCCAACCTCCATACTCTCTATGAAGCCGGTGATGTTCACAGCCGTACCCCGTGTGTTGGCCACAGCTGTGAAGTAATTGAGATTGGCCGCCCCTCTGTTCCAATCCACTACCAGGATGTTCATGTCCTTCTGTGCTGCTAACAAGTGTACAATGTGGTTGATCCAGATAGGCGGTGCCCCCGTGGGCCGGTACCCGTGTATGACAAAGGTAGTAGGTCTTGTTACATTAAATAGGGGTTCTTGAGTGAAGTTGTGGTGGGGGAGCTCCTGACCGCATTCGAGGTTTGCACGGGTATAGAGCAGCAGGCGCACGTACAGATAGGTCCCCATGAACGACTCTTGGAAATCCAGATCCGTGAAGTTGTCGCACTCACTGTCTTCACCTAACAACAGAAGACGCAGGCTTACTGGTCTGTATTTTGCTGTCTGTGTTTATGTGAAAGAGATGAAGTTGTAAACTACTGAACCAAATAATTATAGTGGCTTGTTATACCTTTTTGTTACACTTAAATAACTTTAATGAAAATTAGAAATGTTGCTGTGGCAACTAACTGAAATAAGGTTAAGTACTAAAATGACAAAGTGAAAATAAAATTAATTAAAGCTATATAAGAATATTTAAAGAAACTAATAAATTTACAAACACACATAGAAAATTAAATTAAAATGAAAAATTTAAATATAAAAATTAAAGATAATTCAAATATTAGTAAATATTTAAAAATACTAAAATAACACTGTGGCATTATTACATTTTTTTTGTAAAAACACATTTTAAGGAAAATTTTACACAAAAAGAAGCTGATGTTTCATGTTATACAACAATACATTAATTTTGTTCAAAATAAAGACACAAATAAAAGTGCTTGGACACTTTCTGGTTGTGAGTTCAGTTGGCTTTTAATGGGTAATTATTTTTTTTATTTTAATCATGAAAATGTTAAGTGATGTCTACGTATCACAAAATATTACCAGAACCAAAATCTTCAAATTAAACATTTTCATATCTTTGTGTTCCTCGTTTAGCCTTCGGTTAGCAAGCTAACAGCTTAGCCTGCTAGTTTAGCATGGTGCTAGTTGGATCTTTTGATTAGAACAATTTCAACATAACATGCTATTTTTAATCAGACATCAAGAAGGTTTTTAAAAATGTGAAGAAGTAAAGGTCAAAAATGGCTTAGAAAAGTGTGAGAATAGTTCTAGCATCTAGCATGCAATGAAATTCATACACGTGGTTCTGTGTTTTGCTCCCTGTAGTTTCAATGTAATGCCTAGTTGATCATTTAAAAAATATTCCCAGTTCAGCTTTTCTGGAAACTGGTGATAACAATTCATTTTGTTCTGTACATTTTGGAAAACCTCACAAAGGTTAACGTCATCTCTATTCTTGCCCTATCCTTTTTTCCTCTCAAAATTGACACAGACTGATCCACAAGTAGTCTATATGGCTGGATTTTAGCGACCCAGTTCCCATTCATCTTGCTGTGCGTCATCTCCACTACACACATTTCATGATTCCATTTCTCTTTGGCATCAACCTGCACAGTATCCTTCTGATCATCCTGCAGATCCTTACATCATACGATGTGTCCACCTCATATTTAAGCCATGCAACCTTTCAGGTTTTCCATGTAGATTTCCAACCCTAGAGGTCATTTGTGCCCCGTAATTAGCCCGCATGCAAGTAACAATTGGATCATGCTTCTATAAAAAAGCAGATCATCCCATCTCTCCTTCCACATGTTCCCCTGCCCCCTCCTCTTACCCCAGTAGAAAGATCTGAGATGATTACAGGTGTCAGTCACATGAGCTGTTGTATTTAACCCTCTTTCACGCTGATCTGTTACGTCTGCCATCTGCAAGCATTACTCATTACACACGTCACTGAAATAACATTGGTAAATACAGGCTACAAATGAATCCTCAAGTCCTCGGATCATTTACTGTCCTAGATACCAGAAAGAAATAATCAAACTTAACCTCTTATTTTCCTCAAATTATTCTTCGGACCTAATCAAAACCCAGTTATGTTTCTACTTTTTGGAAACGTGAGAGGTATCCATTCTAGTAACAATGTAACATTTTCATGGGAGACACTTGAAGTGTATTAAAATAGTTGAAATTTTGGAGCTATTCAATAGGCCATTGGGTCTTTCAGACCCCAAACACAACATAAAGGTTAATGTTATTGCAGCTCATACTGTAACACAGCTGAACAGAATAAGTACAGAATGTTGAATCAGAAATGAAAAACTTCCCAGGTTAAATATGTCCATATGGTCAAGGCTAATTTTTTTTTTTTTTGCAAAAAGAAATGGCTGAATCCTTCTCAAAAAAGAGACATTTTCCAAAACCCCAGATGATAAGTGTCAGCGAATCAAAATGTTAGCCAAATTAAATCAGTGTAATCTACTGGATAGAGTCCTGTCTCTTACCTTTACAAAGCATAAAGATGCTCAGCAAAATCAGGAAATGCCACAGTGACATCCTTACCACAAGGTCTGACGGGTAGACACAAGGAATAGCAAGAAAACTAAGAAACAACATTGGAGTGTCTGTAGTAAAGGAAAGAGCCCATGGAGGATGGGTTGTGGGTGGAGCGAAGGAGATTGAACGAGATCACACATGCTCACCGTGTGGTCAGTGGACAGTGTGATAAGTCAGCAGGCCAGCTTAGGACTTCCAGAAGAGTACAGAAAATCATGAAAAGAAGCATTTGGTAAACGACTTTAGGGCTAGTTTGTCCAAAAATTTAAATTCTGTCATCATTTGCTCACCCCCATTTTGTTCCAAACCTGTATAACTTTCTTTCCTTGTTAGAATATACAAGATATTTTGAAGAATGTCTGAAGAGTTTTTTTTTGTCCATTTATTGAAAGTCAGTGTTTGAACCTTAACATTCTTCAAAATATTTTTTTTGTGTTCTGCAGAAGGAAGTCATACAGGTTTGAAATGACATGAGGGCAAATAAATGTGGACAAATGACAAGACTTTAATTTTTGGGTGATCAATTCCTTGAATGTGTTTTGGACACTTCCAGTTTCTGCTTCTTCCAATGTCAGGCGTATTCAGTTGTTTTGTTCCGTATTAAAGGGCACAAGGTCACAGTGAAGTGGGTCTCCTTACAAACCCAAAAGAGCCACATCAGCACAGATATTCAGTACATATCCTGTCAGCAAATACACACATGTAATTTTCATATTGCACCCATATAGTAGAGCATCACTGTAGGCTAAGAGCATATTTAGTCTCCAGAGAGAGGAAATGACCCAGGGTACAATTACTTTGCTTCCCTGCTGAGTGCCTTAAAATCTTGTTTCTTCAAAAATGATGTTATGTGTGAAATTAGCAATATCCTATATCTTGTGGTCTCACCAACAAACTTTACAGCATCTTTGCATTCCCTGCAGGTCCTGTTTATGTGAGTGTAGCAACAGCAACAGACATTACTGCAGTACAGAGGTACGTTTCTTTTAAATTCTTTCTCAGTATGTAAATACATCTGCATATATATTGGAGACAGCAGAAATGAGAGCATTATGACAGTGTGTCTTTGGGGTTCAGGGTCAGAACAGAAGCTGTTTTCGTCTATGTGAGGTTGAAACAGATTAGATGGCAGATTACAGTAACTCTTCTAAACTGTCCACCCATTCCTGCATCTGATGTAGTCAATCCTATTATGGGACTCACTGATCAGGGCTCATTGTACCCATTTTTTCTGCATCAGGCCGACAGATTAACCGTTAGTCTTTTCTCATGACTGCGTTAAACAGTCATTCTGTCATGTATCTACATATAATTAGATTCTCTGTGTATGTGTGTACTTGTTGTTAAAAGGCTATAGGCATACACAATGAGATTTAAATCAGTTTTATTCTTATACATAAAAGATTAGTTAAATGCATATAAAATAATCCGATCATATCAGAGTAGAATATACCTTAGCCACGTTATTTGATAGATTTAATCATGTAATACAAAAGAATATTTTGAACAATTTCATTTTTAAATATGTAAGACACATGATGCAAAATATCTAATATGAACAGAATATGTTTTGCCTATAGTTAAAACAGAGGATTTTAAAAGAAAAGGCTGCAATGTCTGTACAGTGATAGTTGAACATTAATAGATCATTCCTATATAAGGTCACCTTTTCATGAAATTAGAAATGAGGTCAATAGGAAGAGGAAAGACAATAGTTGAGTTCCTTTCTGAAGCAATCTCAGTCAGCGTCTGCATATAGCGCAGCTGAAGAGCAGACGGAGACTCTGACATCACATTTGCCGCCTCCTTCAGAGCATGCGAGGCTTTCATTTCTCCCTCCGCTGCGATCACCTGTTCACGATAGATTAGAACACACTTAAATATGTTCATTTTACAAAGGCTACACTTCAGTGGTCAACCACTTTACCATGAATTCATTCATCATATAAACATAATCCCAATTCACAGTGTGGCCTCTGGCACACACCTTTAATTGCTTGGAAATTTCCATTGAAGGCCGACAGATTAACGTTAGTCTTTTCTCATGACTGCGTTAAACAGTCATTCTGTCATGTATCTACATATAATTAGATTCTCTGTGTATGTGTGTACTTGTTGTTAAAAGGCTATAGGCATACACAATGAGATTTAAATCAGTTTTATTCTTATACATAAAAGATTAGTTAAATGCATATAAAATAATCCGATCATATCAGAGTAGAATATACCTTAGCCACGTTATTTGATAGATTTAATCATGTAATACAAAAGAATATTTTGAACAATTTCATTTTTAAATATGTAAGACACATGATGCAAAATATCTAATATGAACAGAATATGTTTTGCCTATAGTTAAAACAGAGGATTTTAAAAGAAAAGGCTGCAATGTCTGTACAGTGATAGTTGAACATTAATAGATCATTCCTATATAAGGTCACCTTTTCATGAAATTAGAAATGAGGTCAATAGGAAGAGGAAAGACAATAGTTGAGTTCCTTTCTGAAGCAATCTCAGTCAGCGTCTGCATATAGCGCAGCTGAAGAGCAGACGGAGACTCTGACATCACATTTGCCGCCTCCTTCAGAGCATGCGAGGCTTTCATTTCTCCCTCCGCTGCGATCACCTGTTCACGATAGATTAGAACACACTTAAATATGTTCATTTTACAAAGGCTACACTTCAGTGGTCAACCACTTTACCATGAATTCATTCATCATATAAACATAATCCCAATTCACAGTGTGGCCTCTGGCACACACCTTTAATTGCTTGGAAATTTCCATTGAGCAAAGCCAGTTTGTTTTTCCTGCTCATTGTGCCATAGTGTGAGGACATAAAGACTCAGGTTTCCAGTCAACAATATGACTCACATTATAGTGTTCATTGAGAGAGCTCCTACTGTAGTTTAAGGGGAGGTCAGGTTAGCATCTCTGAACTATTGTATGGATGGATGGGTAAATTAATTTAAACAATAGATGAATGGCAGATGAATAAACAATCTATGACAGTTTTCTTTCATGTAGATTGATTTGTCAATTTAAAACACTGAAAGAAAATACAATTAAGGTCATACGTTTACATCTCAAGAGATAATGAAAAATAAGAGATAATGAAAAAAAAGATTATAAAAGTTTTAGTGCCCTGAAGAAGCTGCTTAATAGATTTATTTCCCTAGAAAGAAAAACATTAAATTATTATATAATTATTAATAACATATAAATTAATTTGTTTAAATGAATTACCTCTAATGAATTTATATACATAATGTAAATAATTAATGTAACTATAGAAATTTTAATTTATGTTATAATTATATATAAGCAGGTGTAATGTAACGAAGAAATAATACTTCGTTACAGTACTTAAGTATTTTTTGTTTTTTGGGAGTATCTGTACTTTACTTGAGTTTTTATATTTCAGACAACTTTTACTTTGACTCCAATACATTTCCCAATTAAAATGTATACTTTTACTCCAATACATTTCCCCGAAGTATATTCGTTACTTACTACAAAATAGTCAGAAGTCAGAAGAACACTGCAGGAAAGCAGGTTTGACGAATCAGTGGTCTTGCGCTTGCAAGTTAGAATCCTAAAAACACCTTTGCTCATGTGCAAACAAGTGCGCGCACAACCGCGGATGATTCATTTTCCACTCAAGTCGAGTCTGGGGCGTGCGATATACAGTATATCTGCGATAATATGGTAAGTGTTGTTGTAATGATGTGCGATCTGACATTGTCAAGTAGACTACCTATCACCAAATCACACAGAGTGCACACACATTGATTTATTAGTCTATTAAAACTCAAAACTCCAGGCATTCTAAATTGTAGACAGCAAAATTGCTTCTGTATGCTTTTTATATTCATATAATTTAATATAGTTAACAATCTATATCACGCAAAGAGTACCGTTTTTCTGCAGATATCAGCATGATAACACATTTAATAATCATTTTCTCTGAGCAATGACGGTGTTTACTTATTGAATGAATCAGCTTTTTGAACGAATCGGTTGAATAAATGATTCAGTGATTCACTCATTAACACAGTCAAATGCTTTGTTCCTGAATGAATCAGCCGTTTGAATGACTCAGTTGAATCTCAATGACTCACTCATTAACAGTCAGTTGCTGTCACCTACTGGCGGTTTTAATTTCACATTTCTACTATTTTAAATGTTTTCTTATGTTGGAAAGACACTAAGTAGCCTACCAGATGAAGTGCTTCTTATTCTTACCCAAAAAATACAAAATGGAAGAAAGAGTTGAAAGAAACACAATCTTGCTACTCAAGCTGTGCATGAACATTTATATATATATATAAATTTATTTATTTGCTTCTTTTCCATTTTGCATTTACTTGTACTTTTACTTTCAATACTTAAGTACGTTTAAGATAAAAAAATAATTTTCGTACTTACAGTAAGATATGGGGTGCTGTGTGTACATTAATGAGGAAAAAAAATTTACTTAAATGATTTTAGCAAATGGCTGCAATATAACAAAGAGTGAAAAATTTAAGGGGGTCTGAATACTTTCCGTACCCACTGTATCTAACTATATTGTGAGTGGTCAGTCATAACAAATAGCAATAACATAAAGCTAATATCTTGACCTGCAGGTGCTTTACTGGTCTGCAGGTCTTGTTTTTTAAATTAATTGGCTTAAGGGGGGTTACAGTTAATTTACACCCCTGACCGTATGTGAGGGGCTGCAGGTGTTAATCCACCAATCAGAACACATGTCTCCCCAGACAGACTGAACACAAAGCTGCAAAGCTGATAAGACTAAACTTGGCAGGCTCTGCAGACAGTGTGTGTGTGAGTGTGTGTGTGTGTGTGACTGTGAAGCATGTGACAATCTTTCAGTGCTCAGACACCCACCTTGGCTCTGGCATCTCTGGTGGCCTCTGCCTCAGCTGCCATGGCTCTCTGCAAAGTGGTGGGCAGTTTGACATCTTTCAGCTCAACCCGTTCCACTTTGATACCCCAGTTCTTGGATGCAGCATAC